TTTTATTTGTTATTATTGTTATTATTTTCTCTCACTGGCCCAGAAGATAGTAAGCTCAATGACAGCAATAATTGCATCTGTTTTGTGTAACACCAGACTCTAGCAGATTGTGTGGGACAAGTTCAATTTAGTAATTATTTGTTGAGTGATCAAAAGGATAATGAATAATACTTGGTATGTTCACTTCCTGTCAAATACACTAGGCTTTTCACTCTCACGACATTACATGTCCAGGCCCTCTTTCTTCTTTGCTTATGAAATGTTCATTTGATGGCGAAAGTAAGTAGATTTTATCTCCATTTGATAGATGAAGGAAATGAAGATTAGAGTACTTAATTACTACTTAGCCAGTACTAGACATAGTATTTCTTGATTAAATTATTCCACTTGAATTTTTCCCTCCCCGTAAAGAATTACTATATGGATTTCTCTGCAAACAAAATGGAAAAGCTCCATAATCTTCACATATGATTTTAAATTGGGTTATTGTGATATGTTGTGAAATTAGGCAAACACATTTGAAATGGATCAGAGAGGCACACACAAACAGTATAGAATTGTGTATTATACAAATATATCAAATATTTTTTGACTTCCTCAAAACTAAGATCTTATATATAGCATCCTCAACTATTTCATGTAGATCCAATAAATAACAACACCTGTTGTTTCTTGAGTTTTTTATTTTAGCCATTCTGACAGGTGTGGAGTGATATCTCATTGTAGTTTTCATTTGCACTTCCCTGATAATGATAGATGTTGAGCATCTTGTGTCTGTTGATCATCTGTATGTCTCCTTCCCATTTTTTAAATTGGATTATTCATTTTTTGGGTGTTGAATTTGATAATTTCTTTATATATTTTGGATACTAACCTTTTATCATATACATCATCTGCAAATATGTTCTCCCATTCCATAGGTTGCCTTTTAATTTTGTTGATTGTTTCCTTTGCTATACAGAAACTTTTTATTTTGATGTAATCCCAATAATTTATTTTTCCTTTTGTTTCCCTTGCCTCAGAAGACATACATAGAAAGAAGTTGCTAGGGCCGATGTCAAAGATGTTGTTGCCTGTGTTTTCTCTACTAGGATTTTTATGGTTGCAGATCTCACATTTTGGTCTTTAATCCATTTTGAATTTATATTTTGTGCATGGTGTAAGAAAGTGGTCCAGTTTCATTCTTGCATGTTGCTGTGCAGTTTTCCTAACACCATTTGTTGAAGAGACTGTCTTTTTCCTATTGGATGTTCTTTCCTGCTTTGTCAAAGATTAATTGACTACATAATTGTAAGTTCATTTCTAGGTTTTCTAGTCTGTTCCATTGATCTATGTATCTGTTTTCGTGCCAGTACCATACTGTTTTGATTACTACAGCTTTGTAATATAACTTGAAGTCTGGAATTGTGATGCCTCCAGCTTTGGCTCTTTGGGGTCTTTTTGGTTCCATACAAATTTTAGGATTGCTTGTTCTAGCTCTGTGAAAAATGCTGTTGGTATTCTGATAGGGATTGTATTAAATATGATGATTGCTTTGGGTAGTATTTAACAATATTTGTCCTTTCAATCCATGAGCATGGACTGTCTTTTCCATTTTTTTTTTTTTTGTATCGTCTTCAGTTTCTTTCATCAGAGTTTTATATTTTTCAGAGTACAGGTATTTCGCCTCTTTGGTTCAGTTTATTCCTAGGTATCTTATTGTTTTTGGTGCAGTTGTAAATGGGATTGATTACTTAATTTCTCTTTCTGCTGCTTCATCATTGATGTATAGAAATGCAACAGATTTCTGTACGTTGATTTTGCATCCTGTGACTTTACTGAATTTGTTATCAGTTCTAGCAGTTTTTTGGTGTAATAGTTCACGTTTTCTATATATAGTATCATGTCTTCTGCAAATAGTGAAAATTTTACTTCTTCCTTGCTGATTTGAATGCCTTTTATTTCTTTTTGTTGTCTGATTGCTATGGCTAAGACTGCCAGCACTATGTTTAATAAAAGTAGTGAGAGTGGATATCCCTGTCTTGTTAATGACCATAGAGGAAAAGCTTTCACTTTTTCCCCATTAAGGATGATATTAGCTTTGGGTTTTTCATATACGGCCTTTATTATGTTGAGGTATGTTTCCTCTAAACCTACGTTTTTGAGGGTTTTTATCATGAATGAATGTTGTACTTTGTCAAATGCTTTTTCTGCTACGAAATAATCATATGGTTCTTATCCTTTATTTTATTAATGTGATTTGTCACACTGAATGATTTGCAAATACTGAACAACTCTTACGACCTAGGAATAAGTCCTACTTGATCATGGTGAATTTTTTTTTTATTGTATTGTTGGATTCAGTTTGCTAGTATTTTATTGAGAATTTTTGCATCTTTGTTCATCAGGGATATTGGCCTGTAGTTCTCTTTTTTTAGTGTTGTCTTTATCTGTTTTTGGTATCAAGGTACTGCTGGAATGAATTTGGAAATACTCCTTCCTTTTCTATTTTTTGGGATAGTTTGAGAAGAATAGGTATTAACTCTCTTTAAATGTTTGGTAGAATTTGCCTCTGAAGCCATCTGGTCAAGACTGATATTTTTTAACAGAGCAGGACAGTTATTTTGTAGATTATTTCTTAATTTTGGCTTATCTAATATTTTCTTATGGATAGACTCAGATTATGCACATTTGGCTGTGACACATACGAAGCTAAGTTTTTCTTATTGGTTCATATCAGGAGGCACACACTGCTAATTGTTATAGCTGGAAATGTTAATGTTGATTACTTGGTTAAAAAAGTATTTGCCATTTTTCTCCATTGTAAAGTTAGTATTTTGCTCTTTGTAATTAATATGTAACTTGTGATGAGATATTTTGAGAGTATATAAATATCTTGTTAGTCCTAAACTTTCATTCACCATTTCAGTATCCATTTATGACTCTTGTTTGATATTATTATGATATTTATATCATAGTAATAAATATTTACTTTATAAATATTTTTCAAGTGCTGATTTTCTAATTTAATCATTTATTCTACATTTATTCTTGATCTTTATGGTAAAGAACAGCTTTCTTCTCTCTTTCTCTCTCTCTCTCTCTATATATATATACATACATACCATAAACACATGCATATATATTCTTAGATATATATTTGTATATATATTGATATTCTTAGATATATATTGATATATAGATAGATATACTTAAGTGACACTGATATATATCATGTATATGATAATATCTAACCAGTGGGAGTCCCTTCAAACTCTCCTTATATCCTCTAATATGTACCCATAATTTTTGGAGCACTTTTTACTTTCTAGGTCAGTGCTCCAGCCTTGATACACACATGACAGACCCATGTGAATACGCACACACACATACACACACACATATTATGTATGTATGTACACACTCAAGACATTTTTACCCATTTTTATATCTAGCGCTCTCTATATATTAAAATTATGACTTCACATTGATATCTCAAATTCCATTTCAACACCTCTATGATTAGTACAAGGCAAGATATTTCTACTACTCTCGATATTGTTCCAGTCAATATAATTAGACAATAGTGAGAAATCAAAGGTATACATTCATTTTGGGGGAAAATAAATTTGTTTCTCTTGAGAGATTATATGATAATGTACTTGAAAAACCCTAGAAATCAATGATAAACCTAGAAACTAGGAAAACAATGATAAAGTCAATTCAAGAATTAAATAAGGTAGCAAATTATAAAGTTCACATATATAAATCAATAACTTTCATATACACAAATAATAGTAAGAGAATATAATATAGTTTTCCCCCACTCCATTTAAAATAGCAACAAATTTTTGGGGCACCTGGGTGACTCAGTCAGTTAAGCGTCTGCCTTCAGCTCAGGTCATGAACCCAGGGTCCTGGGATAAAGCCCCATGTTGGGCTCCCAGCTTACCAGGGAGTCTGCTTCTCCCTCTCCCTCTGCCCCTCCCCCTGCTCATGTTCTCTCTCTCTCTCTCAAATAAATAAATAAAATCTTTAAAAAAAAAGCAACAAATTTTGAAAAACTTTTGAAAAACTCATTTAAAGACCAATATTCTCTTTTAACCAAGATTAATATAAAGTTAACTAAATTTCTAGTTTGGATTTTTAAATTTTGTTAATAATGTCTACTTTTATTGCATTGTGATCTGACTGTTACAATATTTTTATTTATAAATATTTCTGTTGTTTTCTTTGTGGTATGATGTATAATCCATTTTTGTGGTTACTCCATGTCTTCAAGAAGACATGTATGTATTCTCTATAATCAGTGTGTAAAGTTTAATATATAATCATATAACTCTGTTTGATCTGTTCTGTACTGAGAGTGAAGTATTAATATCTTCTATTATTAACATGTTTCTCTATGTCTTCTTGCATCTCTGGTAAGTGTAGCTTTAAAAAAGTGGGTGCTGTGTTACTTGGTATATATTCATTATTTTTCTTTGTAAAAATATATTTTATCATGAAAAAGTTTCATTTTAATAATATTTAATGCTTTGTGTTTCAAATTCTACTTTAATATCACTGTGACTATCCATAGTTTATTATTATTTCCATTTGAATGATATATCTTTGCTCATCCCTTTATTTTTAGCTTTTTAAAATAATTGGTAGAGGTATGTCTCATATACACCATATAGTTGTCTTTTTTTTTTTTGCAATCCACATTGAAAATCTTTTTTTCTTCTTAGTAGATGAGGTAAGTCCATTCACATTTATGGATAAAAGTGTTATTATTTATTTCCATTCCGCCTAATTTATTTTAGAATTATGTTATTCTATGATGTGTTTCTTTAGTCATTTATTTTTGAAATTTCTGTTGATAATTAGGAAGGTTTGTATTTTTGTTCTTCTACTTTTTAATGTCCTTTTTAACCCTTTTTAGCTTTAATAGAACACTTTTTATTGTTTGCTAAGTTTAATGAAGCCAGTCTCTCCAGAAAATTAAGCTTATACTAACAGCTTTCATTTTTTGACAGCCTCAAGACGTGGAATTAATCCTCAGACCTTGGTAATAAAGAAGAAGTACCTCAGAAACAAGACCGGCAACAAGTGTGAGCTTTAGACATAAACGAGACCAGAGTAAGGACTTTTTAACGACTATCATTTAGTAAGTTTCATGTTTCTCTGATAGGGGTTCTTGCCTATATCTGTCCTTGGGGCTTCATCATGCATAAACTGGGAATACCCAAAGCACTATGTAATTATTCTTCCTTTCTGGAGCTAAGGGTATCTTCATACTTTTGTTCAGTAGACCCTTAAGTTTCTAAATATGAAGATAATAATAAGAATGTTAGCACAAAAGTTTATCATACTCAGTAGGGGCTCCTGTCATGTCCTTAAAGCAGACTCACAGTAGATACAGTAACACCTCATAAATGTATAAGTGCAGTATTAAAGTGATCTTGTACCAAAATTTGAAGACAAGAGTCTAAGATAATGAATGGGTGAAATAAAATAGGCTCATGAAAAATGGGATAGATTTTATTATTAGACAGGAAAATAAATGGAAATTATGTTGGCTGATAAGATGACCTCCTCCTCACCTTCTCCCCGCTCATTTCTTTGTTACGGATCTGTCTTCTATAGTGCAGAAAACTTGCCAATATGCCTTTAGGTTCCTGCCTATTTTATGTAATCCAGGTAACCACAGTAGCAGGAAAATCTTCCCCTCCAAAATATACAGTCCTTCCTCCCTCCCTCTCTCTCTCCAATGCAGATTATTAAAATTTCCAAGGTTCCCCTTCATTTCTCTATCTCTAGGGAGTAAGCAGCCTTTCTAGAGGCAAACTTTGAAGGCTTTTTCCTTTTTTTCAGGGGGCCTGTGATCTCCAATTGCTTCAGATGATGAAATAAGTTATATTCCTTACGTGGTTGATGAGATAAATGTTATGCAGAACAAATTCTCTCTAGAGGTAGCAGTAGGGTCCATTTTGGTCTCATCACCATGCCACATTATCAAATCTCTTGTCTACTATGTGTTTGTCTGTCTATCAACATCTGCAAGATATTTAGATTTGCCTCAACTGACTTTCAGTCTATCATAATGATACATAGAAATTAGATGGCAAGAGGGGTGGTACTTGACACCATGCCAAAAAAATATTCCCATAATTGTAACAGTAATAACCTTGAAAATTATTGTATATAAACTAGGTTCATGAAATAAAAGTATTTTTTTCTTTAGATAGCTTCATATGGTACTCAAATTTTTGAGAAACTGTTACTAAAACTCTGCTTGTTTTTGAGCTCCTATCAGTTCATCTCTTGTCTGCAGAACAGAAATATCATGACTCCCCCCTGTAGATCCAGTCCCCATCCAGGCAATAACATTATCCACAGTCCAGAAAAATTAAAAGTTAATTTTACCCATCACACTAATATATATCTCACTAATACCCCAGTGTCAGGATCTGCATCTCTGAACAGTTTCCATGAAGTTAATCCCTTACTCTGTACTAGACACTGTGCCATCTCATTGAAACCATCATGTGTATTTAAGATTGATCTTTATCTGAGGAATTAGAGCAAGGTGATAATTGTCTTCTGGTATGACGTCTGAACCCTGAAGTTGTTAAATTGAATGGTATTTCAGTGGAGGAGGTTGTGACAGGCCAAACAAAATCAGTTTTGACAACATAAAATTTGAGGTATTGCTCTGACAGCCATGGCTCAGGAACTAACTGGCAGGAGTTCTGTACACTAGTTATAGTCCATTGGAAAATATTCATCCTGATATTTTTTAAAGTGTAAACTGAAGAGAGAGAAAAAAGGGAGAAATTTGGTCAAATTTCCTATGATACAAGATTATTTAAAATCCCAGGCCCAGAAAACACATACGTAATTAAACATATTACACAATAAAGTTTATGAAAATTAAAATTAAAAAAAGATTCTAACATAAACATACTTTTGTATTGTTGTCTCCAAACTACACAGTATTTTAGCTATGCTATCTGTACTTGACCTGCAGATTGGATGAGCTTTCCTATTAGTGTAATTTTTTGGTTCAGGATGAAAAAATGTCTTGGGAAAACAGAACTGATGGTCTTTTCAGACTGTCCTGCAGAATTTGGTTTTTCCTTCCTTGATCCCTAATATATATTGGACTCTCCCTGATACTGTGTCCCTGTACTAAAACTGAGTTTGTCCAGGCCGTTGTATGTAGAGTTCTTTGTGGTCATGAAATGGACCATTCTTCAAAAACAAAGAAGGGGCTGATATATTGATTACTAATATCTTCCAAATATAATAATTTTCCTTAACTAAATGAATTCTTTATTTGGTTAAATGTTCATTTATTAACTCTTATATTTACCAAACCCTAAGTTGATATATTCATAGAACACTATATGCAATGATAGGAGTCATAACACATTGATGGATAATGCATGACACTAGTCTTGGAAAAGAGATAGTTATTAAATTTCAAGATTAAAAGAATGACCATATAGACCTTTTTTTTTCTAGTAGTTAATATATGTATCCCTATCGCAGAACATGACTCTTTGAATGACAGCCATATTTTCAATCCCCTTTTGTGGAAAACAAAAGATGACTGCTTTTTACTAAGTAGAATAAGGATGGGGCTTGACTTGAAAGAAGTTCTGCTGATTGCCCAAAGTCTAGGAAGTAGCCTTTTTTCAGGGACAATCCATACTGGACAGTGTCCTCCCAGCAAATCAGAAGGTTTCTCTGGGGGTGTCTAGATTGGGGTGAGAGGACATGCAGAGCCAGGTATGTCGTAGTGTAAGGTAGGCAGAGTCAGAGATCAGCTGAAGCCTGCAGTAGAGGAAATCTAGAGTAGGAACAGTATATCCTGAGTGCTTCAAGGATACTGAGTTCCCTGAGTCTCCAGACCTGCACAACATCCTGAGTCATATTGCATTTCTCTAAGATTTTGGAGGCTGTTAAGATACTTTTTGGTAACTCATGTGTTATAAAAATAAGTTACTTAAAATAAGTTCCCATTAACTGAGGTGAAATAATCCTAACAAAATTCTTGCCCCCAAAGAGTGTTTAATCATTAAATCATGTAATAAGAGGTTTCTAGATGTCCTAAGATTTTACAAATCATTTTTTATAATAGTTTTATCATATAAAAATGGCAAAGTATATTTATTAAATATTTGTAAGAAATAAAAGGTAGTATTTCAGTGAAATGCATTTATCAAAAACAAAGTTTTAAAAAATATATTTTTATATTTAGTGTATGCTTCTGTAATATTATTCACTCGATCCTCACTCAGATACATCTACTGGCCTTTAGTATGTGATTATCATTCTTTTTAAAAAATAAATTCCTATATATTTATCTTAAGCAATATATTACAGTTTTGACAATTTTGAAAAGTTGTATAAATTGAATTCTATTTTTCTATAATTTGAAATTTTTTCACTAAATATTATATTCCTGAGATTCATTAATACTGTAGCATGTAGCTTTATTTCATGAATTTTCAGTGCTGTGTGGAATTATGTAAATACCATCACACAACTTTTATTACAAAACTCCATTTACTCCTTTATCCTTAAGAATTGTTCCAAATTGGACATGAACACCAAAAATGGTTTTAGGGTAGCTGTATCACTATGCTAATTTACACTGTATTTACTATTCCTAAAAATCTGTACTAATTTTTATCTGCTAAGATATATCTGCTCTAGTCTTTATAGTAATTGGATTCAACAGATCAAGTAAATTTTTGTTAAAATATATATTATTGCAATTATGTCTTATCCCAGCTTGTCAGGGACTTCTGTGATCCTTATTCTGTCATCTAGCATATTTGTCCTTTTGACACATTTATGTATGGTCATTTAAATCATTGATATGGACAGGACAGGGTAGAGATCACAGCCCTGAGATAAATGTTCAGAAACATCACTCAGATTGATAGTGCTCTGTTAACCAGTACCATTTGAATGGTTATTAGACTGGATTCTATTCTATTCTACATAACCACCTGTCCAGCCAGTCCCTGTTATAGACTAGACTAACACAAGGGACTGTGACAACTGCCTCACTGGAATTCAGCACTGTCTATTGAATCCGTGTCACAGCAGAAGCTTAAGTCTGTTAGAGACGAAATGGAGGTTGGTTTAAAAAGACTTGTTCTTTGTGATCCCTGCTAGATTTAGTATCAATTGTGCCATTTCTATCGGGCAGTATTCATCACTGATAGATGTTATGGGGCAGATGGGCACATATTTTGGAACTTAGAATTCTTCTCTTACTTAAAGTTTATTAAGCATACTGATGATTATTCTGCTCATTTGCAAGACTTCATCCAAGTTCATGTGCTCACTTCAACCCATTCTCCTATGTGTTAGTAATTGCCCATTAACCATAAAGTGAGTATTGGAGCCAGACTGGCCTGTATAGATTAACTCAGTAGTTTTGGTTTTCAAACAGATTACTCCTAGATCTGTGAGTCTCTGGGGCTACCAGGATATCTGTGGGAAAACTGACCCATAGTTTCAAACATACCCATCCGTCTACACTTAGATCAAGGTATCTCAGGTTTTTTGTTTTATAGTCTGGGTTTCTTTTGAACTTTTTTTTTTAAGCTTCTATTACTGAAATATTTCTAAATTCCACCCATCCAGTCTCCTGTCCTTTTCTTCCCACCCCATTTTTAATATGAAGTTATCTTTCCATTCATAGATTCTTACCAGATTGCTAGCCCTTTGGGGGCATACTCAATAATACCTAAAGTTTTTAGCTTGTTTTTGCCTTTTTTGAGTGGCATATTGTGTATATAATAGAGGTAGTGGTCAGAATAATGGAGTAAAAAAAAGCAGGATGTGTGTGCGTGTATATGTGAAATACAAAAGTTCAGCTGGACAGAAATTGTACTGTGACATAAACAGATAAAATTAAACAATGGATTGTTATCTATACCATTCCAATGAACACCAGAGTTTGAAGATGTTCTAAAAGTTGCCGAGGAAGCTAGAATCCCCTAGAAGTTAAATTTCCACCTTCCTTATTTCTAGCTGGTTTCTTGTTACCCTATTATTTCTTCCCTTAACCTTTTCTCCTTGTGTTTTAAAATTGCTACCATTGATTTTTACTCTTAAGTTTCTGGCTGTGAAAGGACTTTTTTG